CACACACACACACACACACACACACACACACACACACACACACACACACACACACACACACACACACACACACACACACCAGAAACCTGAAAAAAATTACAAGTATTCTTTTTTTGGTTGAGGAAATTGCAAGCTATATGTCATATCAGATGGTTTTATAAACAAGTATTAGATGTTCTAAAGATGCTGGAGCTTCAAATTATAGTGTCTTATATTAATAATGTATGGTTGAGTTAGTCTAAATGTACTCTTAACAGCTATGCTGTTAAGGCAGACACAGTTTAGTGTAATCACAGCACAAAATCTGTAGTACACTGGCCAGGGCATCCTTCTGACTGGAGTTCTCACCCTGTGGCAGGATCCAGTGGAAATTTGCTCCACCGTCATTTTGCTCATATTCCTCTGGCTTTAAGAGAGGTTGAATACCTCTTCTATCATATTGCTACTGGGCGTTTTTCCTCCATTTTTCTCGTAAAAAGATAAAGTTCTTTTCCTTTTCTGTATTGATGGAGTCTGAACACAGTGGGGCCATCCTGGATGCAAATGTGTGTGGGAGAGAATATTTGTTTTCAGCATTTGGTTCTTGACACAAGGACTCTTCTGTAAGGGCATATTGCTTCTGCTCATCTGTTTTGCATCCCAGCAACTTGTTGAGCTTCTCTATTTGTGGACAAGTGAGCTGCTATGCATAGAAGATGGTTAGCTTTGGCTTTTGTGTTTAATGCCCAGGGTGTCTAAGGCTTGACTCTTGGAAGTGGAAACCACCCCCCCTTTGCCCCCAGTGTTCCTCTGTACCTCATCCAGGCAGTGGTCCTGGAATAAGCCTCCAGGAGAGCCAGGGTGCAGCCAGCTGGCAGGCTTTGCCAATGGCTTGTTTTGCATAGTTTTTGTGGTTCCTTTCAAAGTTGATGGGAATGGGAGAAAGTACATTAAGCCAAAAGTACAGTTTTACAAATTTAGGAATAATTAAGAATTTATTGCAATACTTAATTGATTTACTTTCGAATCTGAAGATTTCAGTATTTAGGCTTTTATCATACTGTAGGTGGGCTCTTTTTGTTGAAATACATTTCTTTGTTTTGTTTGGGAGCACTAGTCTGAGCAAAAGTTAAAAAATCATATGACTGACAGTAGCATTTTTTTTAAATAATGAGACTGTGTATGTGTTTGTAGAGGATTATAGATATCCTACATTATGTGAAAAGTACACTTGGAATTGTCGCTCCTATCCACTATGTCTCCAGTCACCCTATGCTATAGTGTCTTGCAAACTGCTTTAGGGCACCCAAGGCCTGGTGCACTTCTTTCCCCTTTTTAAATAGCAAAACTGTTTGTTTGCTTTAATTATATTTTTAGGAGCATTTCAAAGGATTATTATCTTCTTTGTCATACCTGGCTCATTTCCTGGAATGAAACTCAAAATAGATACTTATCCTGCTGGTTGTGTAACGTATTGAGTCATAATTTCTCCTACTGCTGCTGAGACTGGCTGTTGCCTATTGGATCTGCAGTTCCTGTTTCAGTCATTGGTGTTTCTGCACCACTGCCATTTTCATATTCTTTTGGATCTTTGAAACTAGACCCTCTATTGCTGCTGCTGCTGCTGTTCCTCCTCTTCCTCCTCCTCTTCCTCTTCCTCTTCCTCCTCCTCTTCCTCTTCCTCCTCCTCTTCCTCATCCTCTTCCTCCTCTTCTTCATCCTCTTCTCCTTCTTCTCCTTCTCCTGCTTCCTTCTTCCTTCTTTCTTCTTTTGTGCTGGTCCTGGGTTTTGAACTCAGGACCTGGGTGCTGTCCCTGAGATTGTTTACTCAAGGCTAGTGCTCTACCACTTGAGTCACACCTCCACCTGCAGTTTTCTGGGTGCTTAGTTGGAGACAAAACTCTGAAAATCGTTCTTGCCAAGGCTGTCTTTGAACCTTTACTCTCAGATTTCAGCCTTCTGTGTAGTTAGGATTATAGGCATGAGCCACCAGTGTCTGATCCCACTGCCTTTTAAAATGTGCACTTGGTGGAGCTTCCCTGTAATTGCTAAATGCTCCTAATAGAAGAAATACTGGATAGGTAATCGTGAAAATAGATATTTTCCTAAAGAGATTTGCTATGACAAACATCATTGGAGGAAAAAACCCAGGATCATTAGAATTCATAATATTGTAAAATAGCTGACATTCTGTTAAATATTATGATGTTCTACCTAAATAATTCTTTAGTAGAAGAAATTTTATAGCTTTCCACAGTGCTCATTTATATTAATTAATATTTGAAAGTATCAACTAATTAATCTGGTTAATGATTTGATAATGCTATTTATTTTTTCTGGTTTTACTTGTTCTTTTGGGACTTCACTTTTCTGTCAGTTTGTTACATATTTCATACAAGTTGTAATGTAAATAAGGGTAATCACATGACTATGAATACTTTTTAGAAATATTGCCTTAAAGAAATGTGGAAATTGTACTGGTGAGTAGCAAATTGCAGGTAAAGGAGATGAATTTGGGACTTTTGGCTGATGGGAAATGATAAAACCAGAACTCTGGTCACAAGAAAGGGCTTAGGGTTTTACACACTGCAGATTCATTCTGTAGACCACTAAGTACAGGGTGTTGGAAAGCAGGACATTCATGGGTCACTTTTTGACTGATTTGGTGAAGGAGATTCTATGAGCTGAGTAACACCCTAAGTTTAGAGTGTTACTGGTTTGGAGATGTCCACAGGCAAGTGGCTCTGTACAGTTTAGTGGAGCTTATATTGAGAGATAAAGAAGCTGCGACATCGCCACTGGGAGCTGGAAAGACAGGAAGGATAAGAGACCCAGCACAGAACTGTAGAGGGAAGGGCCAGGAAGCAGTGTCACAGGAGGAGAGTCTCTGATCTTAGAGTCAGTATATTTAACTGGGATTGAAGACTGTCCACTGGCAAGCACAGCATTGCAGTCTTGCTGTAATTGGAGCCAGAACAGTCTTGGTGAGTTTTGATAAATGGGTATGGAGGACAAGGATTTAGCACTAGTCTCCCGGGGGAGGTCAGCTGAAGGCCCATAACTGGGCTTGGGGAAAAGTTTTGATAGATGAGATTTAAGATCAGAGAGGTAGTAGACTGAGCAAATTAGAAGCATAATCTCTTTAGGCAGATTTTTAGGAAGGAAAAATAATTTGAAACTGATAACAAAGTTGTTCCATTTTACTTAGGAGCTTGAGAAATACTCAGGTTAACTTGGTATTGTAATACTTTATAGATCATTCTTTTCGTATTTTCAGGTAAAATCCATTAGATAAAATTTGTTCCATTAAACTAATTTCCTGACTATAAAAATTTATATATATAATATATATTATATATAAAATATTATATATTATAATATATATGTTATAATAATACATTATAATATATTTATATATATTATACATATATTACATAACATTATATATAATATATTATAACATATAATGTTCTCTATTATAATATATAATATACTATATAATATATATCATAATAATATAATATATATTATATATATTATATATTATAATATATATTATATATTATAATCTATAATATTATATATATATGTGTGTGTGTATATATATATGTATATGTATATATATATATATATGGGTTTGGTTTTTTTCTCCCACAAAGTGTGTTGGAAAGCACTTGAATTGGTCCTGTCCTTTGAAGTTCTTGCCTCCCCCAAATGTTCACACAGGTCCACAATGGTGACTTATGGTTTGTGTGAAGTCCCACTCCCTGTTTTTCTGGGGTTGTTCTGCTTTGGGTGGCAGCTGCCTGCCTGTGCTACTTGCCAGCCTTGACAGACTATTATCTGATCAGTCTGGTAGATTCCTTTATGAGTGAATGAGTAGTACTCAAGCCCTAGCAGATGTGTAGCTCTTAAAAGAGGTTTGGGGAATTTTAGAATTCCCTAAATAAATTAGAATACCTATAGAATAAAAGAGAGATTTGGGAAGTTGATACTTTATAAAAAAAATCTATATTTTGTTTATATATTAAATTAGCTTCAGGGTGCTGGGAAGGTGGCTCAGTGGTAGAGCGCTTGCCTTGCATGCCTGTGTCCCTGGGTTCGATTCCTCAGCACCACATAAGAAAAAAGAAAAAAGCCGGAAGTGGTGCTGTGGCTCAAGTGGTAGAGCGCTAGCCTTGAGCTGAAGAGCTGAGGGACAGTGCCTAGGCCCAGAGTTCAGGCCCACGACTGGACCCCCCCCCCAAAAAAAAATTGGCTTCACATTCTGTAGTCAAAATTAATAAGAAGCATTCCATTTCACAAAATACCTAACATAACCAGTTATTTTTGAATGAGTTATAAAAATGAAATCTGTACATTTTAGTAACACAGTCTTAGTAAAATAATCTGGACTCAGTCTAGCAAGTCTAGTTTGGAGTTCTGTGATTGGATGCTTTCACCTGTCATGCTTCTGGCAGGTGCTCAGAGGCTGTGCCCCAGAAAGAGTGGTGCTATAGAGCCGGTTCATAGTACTCCTTGTTGGTCCTTGTTAAGTGGTGGAGCTAATGGGCCTTTGCCTCAGAGACCAATTGAACTACTTCCCACTTGTTTAAGCAGATGTAATATCTCTTTCTTTGAATGAGATTGCCATTTTAACACCAAGGTAGCCCATAGCAAGTCAGGAGTTTTACAATTATGCACAGATAGTTTCACCTTGACATTTATATGAACCAAACATTGCATAAAAGACTTTAAGAAGATTATGAAGTCAGAACTGTGATCCCATTAATCCAATAAAAATTTTTCATGAAAGTAATTCAGTAATGTGGGAAGTTAAAAAATACTGGTTGCCCATTTATGTGATGAACTACTTTATAATCATTAATAAAGTTTTTGCAAACAATGCTTATTTTTTGAAGATCAAAGGTATATAAACATCTGCATATAATATTTTAAAATATGCTCATATTAAATGGTCTAAAGTGAACTCCATAGTGAGATATGATCTAAGTGAAGACACGTAACATTTTCTATTTCAGCTAATCTACCAGTGCCAACGATCGCAGCAATAGATGGACTTGCTTTAGGTGGTGGTCTTGAACTGGCTCTAGCATGTGATATACGAGTAGCAGGTGAGAATCCTATTCAGAACATAATTTTTAAAAGTGGGAGCTGGGAATATAGCTAATTCTTAAACCAGACTTGTGTGAGACCCTAAGTTTGGTCTCCAATACTAAATTAATGGGAGGGGGCTTACTTTTCAAGTATTTTGTTTTGCTGTTGTTATATGTAACTTTTTTAAAAAACTTCACCTATTGGGTTCAATGATGCATTTGAAATTCCCAATTAAAGAGAAGATTTTTAAAGCTTGGGATGCTGAGACAGGAGATTCACAAGATTGAGGTTAAGCTGGGCTCATGAAACAATGTCTGAAAAAGCCAAGCAAAAGAGAAAAGGGAAGAAGAGGGGAGGAAAAGAAGACAAGAAAGATTTTTGTTATTCAGCCTTAGCAGTGGGAACAGACAAGATTTGGACCAGATGATTGAGTTGGAACTTAGGTTCTGTTCTTTGTAGATACCTCCTTCTTTCTAAAATGGGGATAATGACTATTGCTGGGAGCATTTAACCTATGGAGTTAATCTGTGGATGTGCTTTAGTCCAAGCACTTTTAATGACTTTGGGCTCCAATAATAATGACTTGATGATTCCTTTCTTAGTTCACTTACTTGCTGAATGCTTTTCTGAGTATGTATGAAGTGGTTATGAAAATAATGAAAAAAATTGGTGCTCACCACTTTCTGAGTTTGATTAGGTGTTGCATGTATACTTTATGTGTATTCATTCCCTGGGTCTGCCTTGCAACCCCAGGAACATGGTGTACCTTGGGGTACAGGAGGAAATTAGTACAGATATAGGAGAGACCGAAACAAACGATTGAACTGAGATTTAAACCCAGGTGATCTGGCTTCAAAGCCCCACTAGAGCAAATACATATACTGATTTGCCATGCCATTGTTCTGGACATAGTATTGCATAGACTGTAGTCCTGCTTACGCCTTGGACAGCACTGAGAACCCAGTGAAGCAGACAGCACATCGTTGTCACTGTTCTTCCTCTGGTTCTCACTGTCACTTCCAAAATCAATGCAATTCAGCCTTTAATAATTTGATGGGACTGTGTCTTCGGATTTGTAGTTTCTTGTCCACGTATACTTTACCTCCTTTCTACCCTGTGTTAGGTCCTTATTTTGTTGTGATAGAATCACTAGTTTTGTTGTGGTTTATTGCTTTTTCTTCTGTTGCTAGGATCAAGTAGATTTTAAATTAAAAATCTGAGGTACATTTAATTCATCTTGAACGAAAATTCAGGGAATGAGGAGGATGTAAGAAATAGTGTAAGTGCAGTTAGACATGTGAATAAAGAAACAATTAAGATCCTGTAAGGTATCCATACAAACAGATGGAAAGAGGAAGACTATACAGCAGTGAGAACAGTAAAGATACTTATCTCAAACAACAGAGGTTTGGCCTTAGAAGTTGCCATAGCTGATGTTGTATATTAAGCTGTTTGATCTGGGGCCTACTTAGGCAGCTAAAGAATTCATGCTTGTCAGGCAAATCTCTCCCCTAGTCCTGAATAATTAATAGAATTTAAGCCTCAAACTTAAGTTGGCAATATCAGGTCTAATATTGCAGTTACAACTCTGCTCTTTCATCAAAAAATGAAGTCACTGCCAAACACTTTTTAATGGAAAATGTTAGGTTCTTTCCTTACGGGTGTCATGTAGAGTGCTTACATATTTCCTTAACTCAGTATCTGAAGTGATTTTAAAAAGTTGTGACACCAGTTTGATTAATAAACATAATATTTTTTGGTGTATCATGTTTTACTGATCTTTTCAAGTTGTCATATTTGAATGTGTTGATGTGGATGTTACTTAGTTTTCTTTATTTCTTTTTAGCTTCTTCTGCAAAAATGGGCCTGGTTGAAACAAAGCTGGCAATTATTCCTGGTGGAGGTAGGAATAGCTCACATCTATTGTAATACTCCTGATTTGTTCCCAGAAACAAAGGATGGTACAAGAGCATGAAATGGGAAAGGCAACATACTAGGGAAAGGGACTAATGTTGTTTTGTTTATTCTTTTAATGAAGTTCCTATTCAAAATTCACTCTTTTTTTTAGATTATGTAGATGCAAAGATGGTGATTTTGCTGACCATTGCTTTCTTTTTGTACCCTCTCTGTGCTTTTTTTGTATTATTTCTTACATTTTAAATTATTGATAGTCCACATAGTTTGCATCTATTTTCTGAAGGATTATACAACTCTTCTGTACCTTTCTTGTTTGTGCATTTAATGTGTACACCTGCAATTGAGAGCTTCATGTACACAGTGAGACTCTGAATAGAGGAGTAGGTAGGGCTTCTGTTAAGCAGCGTATGTTAGGGCAATAAGTGAAGGAAAGGTTTATTTTGACTCACAGTTCCTGAGGTTTCAGACCATGATTCATTGGCTTTGTTGCTTTTAAGCCTGTGATGAGGCAGAACCACATGGCAGGAAAATGTAAAGGAATTGTTCACCTCATGGCAGCAGGAGGTGTAAGAGAGGGAGGAAGGGACCAGGGTCCCAGCACACCCTTTGTGTACCAGTCGCCTAACTTTCTCTACTGGGCCCTAACCCCTGAAGGTTCCACCACTTTCCAATAGTGCCAAAGCCTAGGGACCAAACCTTCAGTACATAGGCCTTTGGGAGACACTCTAGGTCCAAACTCTAGCAGCACCTCAGGCTTCTGGCTGCCTTTCTTGTTGCTACATAGCAGGACGTAGACTGAGTGTAGTGAATTTAAAGCTTATGAAGTGTTCTCTATTTTGTTACTAGAAAAGCGAGGTAAATTGAGCAGCTTCTCTGAAGAATCATTAAGAAAGCTACTTTTCAACACTGACAGTGGAATATTGCATCCTTAAAAAAGTCTGCATTCTTGTGGCAATTTTGATTTAGATCATTTGGAGGTAATTGCCATTTTGTGAGGTTATTCTTTTAAAAAGTGGACTTTATTTAAGGATTAACAAATTACAGTAACTTTCCTAGGTAATTTTTACATATATATGACAATTTATGAGTGTATAAATAAGGTAATTAACAATGTAAAGATTAAATATAGTGGATAAATAGGGCAGACATGTTTACATATGAATAGGTTAAAACCATATGTTTAATACTATTATAAACGTGTGTACCTGATTAGAGTCTGTAGATAGAAATTAAACATAAGTTGCAGTGAAACTGAAGGCTGCTCAAGTCAACAACTAAGGTTATTCTATTTTGGTAATTCATGAAAATACTGTTCTTTTTTGAATTTTTTTTGGGGGGTCCGGTTGTGAGGCCTGAACTCTGGGTCTGGGCGCTGTCCCTCAGCTCTTCAGCTCAAGGCTAGCACTCTACCTCTTGAGCCACAGCATCACTTCCAGCTTTTTTCTTTTTGCTTATGTGGTACTGAAGAATCGAACCCAGGGCCTCAGGCATGCAAGGCAAGCGCTCTACCACTGAGCCACCTTCCCAGCCCCCTTTTTTGAAAATTTTATTGTATTGTAAAGATGCTTTACAGATGGGTTACAGTTACATGAGTAAGGCAATGAGAACATTGTTGTTCTCCCACTATCCCTTCCCTCCCTACCTCCCTCACCCCCCCCCCGCAAGTTGTAAAGTACAGAAAATAGTGTTCTTATAGGCCAAAAGCATATAATACCTGTCTGTTCTATCATACCTACCTATTTCACAGTGACTAATGAAAGAAGGATTCATAAGGATGGACTTACTTGAAGAGCTTTATTAGAAAATAGGTGAAATTAAACTGTTGGGAAAACTATGATATGTTTCTGAATATGTTTTTGGTGTGGTGTTAGAGATTAAATCCAGAACCTTGTGAATCTTAGGCATGCAGTCTACTACTGAATTCTGTCTCAGCATTAAGATTCTTTTCAGAAGTAAGCTTTTACTGATGATTAGGATATCACTAAGCCTAGAAAGATAGTGGCTATAGTATGAAAGAGTCAGCAGATAATAAAAAGTCCTAGAGATGAAATCATCTTGGGTTATTTAAATGAGCCTTAAATCTAATGACAAAGTGTCCTTGGAGTTTGGGGGGTGAGGGAGGAGAGGAAGATAGAAACAGAAGTAAAGGTCCCTGGAAGACGGGGGAGTAGTCCATGTACAGGCCAAGGCTGGCCTACAGCTGCCAGAAACTGAGAGAGGCATGGGGTCCATGCTCCCTCAGAGACTCTCGTAGCAACCATCCCTGCAGACATCTCTATTCCAGGTTTCTGCCTTCACAAACTGTGAGAGAATACATTTCTGTTGTTCAGAACTATTGAGTTTGTAGTAATTTGTTACAGCACCTCAAGAAACTGATTCAGTGACTTTTTAATGTGTTTTATGCAGTGTTTTCAACTGGAGTCAGATGACAGACAGAGAGATCAGGATAGAAAGAAGATGGACTTCGTGAGTTAGATTGTCCATGTGTGAATGTGAGGTGATTTATGTTAAAACCACCAGAATGATAGGCTGTCTGAGAATACTGTTTGGTTTAATTGAGGAGTGGAGAATGTCCTTTAATCATTACCTCACCAATCCTCCCACCCAAACACTGATTTACTCATCCCTTCTTTCCTCCCTCTCTTCCTCTTTCCCTCCATTCTGTTTCCTTTCCCTTTCTCCCACTTTCTTTCCTTTTTCTTTTCATCCTTTCTTTCAACATGATCTTGCTATATAGACCAGGCAGGCCTCAAACTTACTGAACTTAGCATCCTGAATGTTAGGATTACAAGCATGTCCCACCATACCCAGATTCAAGCACTAATTTCTTTTAAAAGTAAGCAATGTATTATACTGAAGTTTGTGTCTTCTGAATTCTGAATAGTATCTTCTCATGGTTTAGGTTTAGGTGAAATGTTTTTGTTAAGAATGCTAAATGGGTGATGCTGTATGTTGCATTTGGCAGTTATTTGTGTGTCACTTCACTGTGACCATGTTCTGTTGTCCCATTTTTGGTAATGATAATTTAAATCCCTTGTTTAAAGTAGTGACTCACTTCAGCCATATTTTTAGCATTCTGTTACAACACTGACAGAGATAGGGGTGGGAGGAGGGAGAAAGAATGAGAATATATCAGAGAACCCAGGTTCTGGAGAACCAGAAAAAGAGCCATAGTGTTGTCTGTTTTTCATCTCTCCAGTGTGATGGCTGAGAACATCATTGAACATCCTTGTAGGCTGTATTTAGCAATCAGGTGGTTTCTTGGCATGTTTTCCAGGAACTCTGAAGCAATGATGAATTTTAACTCCCTCTAAATGCATGTTGGTAATCTTGAACACAGTCTTGAATTTGGAATGCTTGTTTATAACCTTTACTGAAATTATCCTAGAATTTACATCAGAATCTGAGCTTATCTTTTGAATATTCTCAGTGGTGACTCATCTTTATTCTGTGAGGGTGAATTCCTCTTTCATAAATAGCAAATGATCTTTCTGTGCCAAATCTGATGAATAAGGTCATACTGCCTTAAGAGGGAGGAAAGTATAATAAAAATACAACTGGTTTCTTAAGAGGCTTATGTAATGCGAAAACTTGTTACCAGTGCTGTGCACAGCGGGCTGTAGTGCTGGCTTAGTGCAGTGCCTCCTGAGGTGACTTTCAGAAACTGTTGGGTTGGGCGGGCACCTTTCTGCAGACCAGCATATGTAAAATCTCATTTCCTTACACACTGAAATGTGACACACTGACCACTGGCTTGCGCTTAATTAGGTGTTCCAGGAGCTGCTTGTTGACTCCCCACTGTGTGGGGCCATTTTGATAGTTGCTGTGGAGGAAACTCCCTGACAATTTATCTTCTGACATGTGGTAGGAGAGATTCAATATACCCAAATTGTAACTGCTCTGTTATGGTAAAGTTTGTAATAAAACAGAAATAAAGCAATTTAAAACCAGGGTTCCTGAGTTCAGAGAAAATAGTGTGGATTCTGTGAGGCACTGTGAAGGAAGAACTGATACATCTTGGTTGGCTAGGCCTACAGAATAGGCTTTGCTCCCCTGTGTGCCCATTGTGCACTGAGCATATTTATTCACTTAATTTAGTATACTTCTGTTGAATCCTGCCCGAGTAGAAACACTGGGGCGGTGAGGGAACAAGGTTCACTGCCATATACCTTGCCTTCCAGCACAGGAACAGTACACCTGCAGGTGAGGAGTCTCTATAATAGCTGAAGAGGAAAGTGCTATAGAGAAAGAAAGGAGAATGGGTCCGATGGGAGCGTGGGTAAGTAGGGTTTTCCATTTGAGACTCCATAGCAAGCCTCACTGAGAGTGTAACTGCAGTGGAGAAAGGATTTGACTAAATTATTCAGACAGATTTGAGGAAGAACATAAAAACTAACACTCAAGGAGAAGGGCTTATGTGAGATAGTGCTTAGAATGTTCACTCAGTCACTGTAGGCACAAATGGTGGGAATAAGAGAGGAAACTATCAGCAGCAGGGGTGATGTGTGGGTGTTTTCAACAGCATTATAAGGACTTCAGCTTTTACCCTAAATGAAAAGAGGACTCACACTGGTGTATCAGCAGAGGTTTGACATGCTCTTAGGTTTTTAAAGGTTTATGATCACTGTGCCAAGAGGAAACTATAGTGGGCCAAGGCTTGAAGCAAGAACTGGACTGAGCTGGTACTAAAGGAGGTAGAGGTATGGTCAGGCTCTGGGTGTCTTTCAAAGATACAGTGAAGAGAATCTCTTTACAGGTTTGATTAATCAGTATCAATCAGTCTCACTAAATACAACCTTTTCCAGTACTTAATGAGAATTCTTTTCTTCTTAATCTGTTTGTATTTCCCCCCTCCACCCCTCGGTGCGCCATCCCTCCCCACAGTGTAGGGCTTGAACTCAGGGCCTGGGTGCTGTTCCTGAGCTTTTTTTGCTCAAGGTGAGTGCTCTACTACTTTGAGCCACAGCTCTACTTCTGATTTTTAGG